CAATCCAAGTTGATCCTTACTTCCTCCACAGAGTAATTCATCTCGTCATTAAAAAAGCCAAATAAAACAGTATATTAAAGTATACAAAGTCATTGTGCTGTGCTGTTTAAAAATAACTGTCTTATAAATAACTACTCATTTTTTTCTTTTATGAAGCAAAGTCCTGTAAAGCATAAGAAGGCTTTTACAATTCATTTTCTAAATTGTAACATGTCAAGAGTCTAAAGTGTTATGTTCATTAAGCCTAATTTATGCCTCTTGAAGTGTGTTCAATTAGCAATAAACCTTTTCAAGAAACAGAAATTATAGCCCTTTACCACTAATGTTTCATTAAGTTAGTTGTCTGTGTCTTTAATGCATGAAAAAAGTTCTATTGAAGAGGGAGGTGTAGCTTCCCATGTATAGCCTGAACATGGAAACATAATACTAATAATTAAAAATCTCTCAGTCTTGAGGGAGGTGTAGCTTCCCATATATAGCCTGAACATACAAATATAATATTGATAATTAAAAATCTCTGACTCTTGAAGACGGAGGGGCCAGGAGGTTCTTTTCTAAGAAAAATGCCTAACAGCTAGCTCCCTTGTTTCCCATTGTTACTGGCACAGTGCAATTTTATACTTGTTATCCAGGCTAAGTAGTAAACATTCCTCTTTTGCCCTCCAAAGCAGCTTGGATTTACAAAACTATTTGGTCATTTGAATTCCGCTGTCATTCCTCTGTTCATCCACACTGGCCACTCTCCTTAACTGGACCTATATTCTCCAGATGCCCCCTGGGGGAAAAAATCACCCTCTATATTCCCACTTACATCTTCCTCACAGAGCTTTCTTTGAACTAAAATTTCGCTAAGCTACATATTAAATTTCATTTCAATGATAATTCCTCTACATTATAGATATGTATATGTCTGTCTTCTTTGAGGATATAACGAGTCCAGAGCAGAGGCCTCTGACAGCCTAGCATTCAACACAGGCTATGTCGGAGCTCTGACTAAATAAACACACTTTCCATATACCCTATGACATATAGTTTAAGGGTTAGGTGTTTGTATTTTTGGAACACTAATCCTGTAATAGATTCTGACACCTCATTTTAATATAATTTACTTTAATCGTAAAGGAATTCTGAGCATAACTCTCTTCCCATATTCAATATAATCTGTGTGTAAGCTCTTAAATAAGTTTTAAGATATATTATTATATATGCTCAAGAATAATACCTATAATGAGTAGATCTGCTTTAAAAGCTAAAATAAATTTACACATTATACTCAGATGAATGTGACAAACATATCAATCAGGTGTTTTCAAATTAATAAGGAAACATAAATAACATTTCATTTCAACTAAATGCACATTTTATCTTATCTAGTTTAAAATGAAGATATGTTGTATTTGGAATATCCAATGTCAATTAAACTAAAATATATGAACATATTTGAAAATATTTCTCCTTCATTCAAAATTGTTGCCTTTTTTGGGAAGTTACAGTGGCTTTCAAATACTGTGTGTACAATAAATATGTGGCAATGAGTCAATTGAAAGTGCTCAGGACTTGAAGGAATATATACATATACACACAGATATATATATACATATACATAGATATATGCATATACACAGAGATGTATACATATATACATATGTTTATATGTGCATATACAGATATATAAATATATATGTATATATGCATATACTCATGTGTCAACACAGATATATACATATATACAGATACACATATGCACAGATATATACATATACATACAGACATATATAGATATATACATATATACGTGTTTATATACATATACACACAGATATATGTGTGTATATAAATATGCATATACATATATATGGAAATAGAATGCTGATAGTTAAATACATATTTCTTTGCCTTCACATTTTGTTAATTATTCTCTTTTTGTGTATTCATATATGTGTGTACACACACAAACACATGCACATTGCACACGTAGTACCCATTGGAACCCATGTAGAAAGGTCAGAATTTTCAGGATCTGTTTTTTTCCTTCCACATGTGGGTCCTGGGAATTAAACATAAGATGCAGCAGATGCCTTTACCCCATGAGCCATCTCACAAGCCCCACATTTGAAAAACAAAAGCAATCACACCCAATATTCTACTTAGTTTGGTTTGATACTTAACAATGAAAAACACTGGAGGATAATACAAACTATAAATGCATTTTTACAGGTTATGATGTGTAACAACAGATTAATCACCTAAGAATTCAGTAAGATAGATTTGGGTGTAAATCCAAGTTGCCTTAAGGAAAATAAATTCTACCTTTCGTCTAACGTTGAATACATGAACCATCATTTCTCCCCACCTCATGTACAGCTTGGTTACTGTCTGTGGAGCTGAAGAATGGTGATAATCTCAGGAGAGTGAAGACTCAAAGAATAAGAGACACACTTGGGTGGACAGAAACAAATCTTGCTCATGTCAGGCATTCGGCCAACACTCTCAGATACAAAAGCCAATCGTTGTAGAAGCTCATGTCAACTACACGTGATAACCAACCGAGCTTCATGTAATACAAATGAGCAAGTAAGAATCACTAGCCATTTTTAAACTATGAAAGAGAAATATTTAAATAAAAAGAAAAATTAACTGGTGGGGAACAAGATCATCTTGGAAGAAGAACTTTTACCGTATTGTAAGTACTGTAAAAAAAGATTCATGAATACATCTATTAATAAACTAGAACAAACAAAAGTCACAGTAAGAATAAAATTCCCCAAATTAAGAACAAATATTATATCTTTTATTTTGGGGGAAAAATACTGAGAAAGTTTCCAAAATATAAAGCAATAAAACCAACAGGTGATGACTATGGGATTTAAGAATGGAATGTGAGTCAAATGGCTGCAACGTGCACCTAGGAAGACTCTTTAGTGACAGCCATCAAAGGCAGTAAGGGTGGTGAGGTAATCACGTCGTAGAAGGAAGTCTCTCAAGCCCAGGGCATGGCCCTTTGGAGGGCTTAGGGAGTTTTGTTCAGGTCAGATGAGAGATGACCCACAAACACATCCTCACGAGGGCTTAGAAGAGCACAACACACGCTGCTTCTCACCCTTGCTGTGCTGCCTGCTTTCCCTGATGTCTACGTTGTATGGACACGTGAATTTGGAAGGATTCTGTATGTTTCCTGGTGATATTTTGTTTGTGTTTTAACAAACAAAGCTTGCCTGAAGATCAGAGTACAGAGCTAAACCACTGGAGGCCAGGCAGTGGTGGCACACACCCTTAATCCCAGGATTTAGGAGACAGAGGCAGAGGGATTCCTGCGACTTCAAGGCTACCCTTGGCTACAAGAAATTGATCCAGTCTAAAAGAGGAACAGAGCACACGCAAAAGGTGACCCTAGCACTTGGGATCCCTCGCTTTTAATCCCAGCACTAGGGAGGGGGAAACAGGAGTGATGTGGCTGAGTGGAGAGAGGAGATATCAGGTGGGAGGAGACAGGAGTTCACATGGAATCTAAGGAAACCTCAATCTGAGGAGCAATCAGTGGAGACAGTCTGAGGACAGGATTGCCCCTTCCATCTAAGCATTGGTAGGGATAAAAGGTCTCTAGTGGCTGGCTGTACTGCTTCTCCAATTTCTCAGTTTGCCCCCTAATATCTGACTCCAGGTTTTTATTAAGAACAATTAAAATTAATGCTACAATGTTTAAAAAGAATATATTCTCACATTTTGAAGAATTTGCCATCTTTGCCTAGTTCCTTTCCTCTCAAGAGCTCTTATCAAAAGCAATACACTTATGAAGAACACACTGAAATAAACTGGAGAGATGGCTCCATGGTTAGAGGGCTGGATGCTCTTCCAGTAGACCCAAGTTTTATTCTCAGCACCCACATGGCAACTCACAACTGACTGTAACTCCAGTATAGGAATGCAAATCTCTCTTCTGGCCTCCTCAGGCATGTGCACACATGCAGTACCCATATACAAATGCAAGCTAAACACTCATACACATAAAGTATAACATTGAAAATTTTTTAAAAGAACATACTGACGCCTCCTGCCTATTGGTATAAGCATTGCACATTCAAAAGTAAACAATATATAAGACTTGAAGATTGATTTTACATTATAAGCAATTAAAATATGAAAGACATATTTGCTATGTTAAATATAGTTTCTATATATGTATTAAAATGCAAAAATAATTATAGTGAATCACAGGAGGCAGATTTGGAAAAAATAAAAGCCCAAAACCTAATATGCTCTCATAACGTAGGAAATGACAAAGCATAGGCAAGAACTGATAGATCATAGAATACAATTTTGATGAAGGTAAAAAGCAGAATGTTTTAAATCTGTGTGACAGAGATTAGAGTAAGGGACAGGAACAAATGATGGTTAAAATTCACACTTGCAACAGAGGAAAAGAAATACATTAACAAATAAAGAATATGCATAGTATTTAAAATTTCACAGAGTGGTTTAACATAATCACCTGATGAGTGACAATGAAGGAAAATGTAATGAGTCATTGACCAGCCTCTTTGATGGCTGCATTGTTATTACGGTGTGCGTTGCTATTACAACATTTAAGTGAACAAACACATAAAAAAATTAATGAATGATAAGCAAATAACAATCTACTTTTATGTTATATTTGAGAAAATTTATATAAGGAGACCACACACATTTGTCTCCCTCCTGTATAAAGTAATATAAAGGATACAAAGTGACCTGGGGTATATTAGAGCAATCTTTGTATTCAAGCCATTCAATCAGTAGATCGGTTAACCACTATTCTGTCTAAATATGCTGAGAGCTGCACAGACATGAAATAAAGAATTCTACAGCAATCTTTCACACGGAGAACTCAAGAGCTGGGTGTACTGACACACTGTAATTTATCTGGCCGAAGCACTGCAGTTTTGAACTCAGTAGATATTTCCATTGTCCTAACACTACCTCTCGTCCTACTTTGAAGTTTATAAACATGGCACTATTTGTACCTTGAATAATGCATGGCTTGGTGGCCTGCGATATTAAAATAGAAGTCTGTTGTGTGCTTGATTTCGTTGGTGTGCCCGGTGGCCTCAATCCAGTGCCCTACTGGGAGACAGTAGACACCGTCCACCAAGTTGTTTTCATTATATGTACAGCAGCGGTCATGGTGAGGTCCGTTTCCTAGAACAAGAAGTAACACACAGCAATTAAGTCAGTGCTTTGCTCAGGCAACCTTGAAATGACTGGGACAAAATTAATCGGAAGACGAAAATAAACATAAAGTAGTTTAATTGCAAAACGAAACAGACTAGAGTCGAAGTGGGCATTTGTAAAGTGCCTTATGAAAATCTTAGTGTCTGTGTTCCCTCTGAGTACATGAGTTTTAATAAAAAGCTGCTTACTAACTCTTTCAGACTCCATTGACCCACACAGTGCCCTACAACAAGCTATGGCTCATTTTATACCCCAATAACTATTTGAAACGGTTTAATAGTCATTAATATGCCTGGATTCCTTGTTATCTTTATGGTATGCAAATGAACTATTCAGGTCAGAAATAAAGTATCTTAGTGCCAATGCAAATAGTAAATACAGAAGTGAACACATAAGTAAATAGTAAAATAAATGATCACAGGCAATTTAATTCACAGGTAAAATGTGGATTAGTGTTTCCTATAGATGAGGAAACTAAGTCTCGCAGAGGTTAATTAGCTTACCTAAACCCGCTGAACTTCTAAACTCATGGATTATTAAGCTGACTCCCACTGGACCCTCTCTTTCAGGGGCTGATGCCCTCCTGCTAATCCATGCCCCCTTCATATGCACAAAAGACACAAGCTCCTCCTTCCCAGTGTCATGGGGCAAACGAGAAACAGAAAAACATGTCTCTAAAAGCATCATTTGCTTACGTTGCTGTTTTTTCCAATATCAGCCACACTACGACCTGAACGCCTCTGTCACCCCTGGAGTCCCGTGTTGAAGCTCCCCCATTCTTTCTCCATATAAGATCACAGCAAGTGGATGCTATCTGTGAACCGAAAAGCAAGCCTTTGGGGCTGGAGAGATGGCTCAGGGGTTAAGAGCACTGGCGGTTCTTCCAGAGGACCTGGGTCCACTTCCCAGGATGCACCCACATGGCAGCTTACAACTGCTGGTAACTCTACCTCCAGGGGATCTGACACCCTTGCAAAATACCAACACACGGACAGTAAAAATAAATAAATCATTTTTAAAAAAGCAAAAAACAAACAAACAAAAAAAGCAAGCATTCACCAGATGCTGACTTCATCCTGCTTTTCCCTACCCTCAGAATGCTGAGAAGTATATTTCTGGTTTAATCAAATCTCTCAGACTATGGAATTTATTATAGTGGGGCAAATAAGAACTGAATCCTTTATTCCCATGAAGACTAAAATTCATACTATACTATAATTAGAACTTACATGCTCATCTTCTTTCAAATTATCTCCTTTCTTATCTGACCTATTATATATTATCAATAAAACAAATGTCTGTGATGTGTAGGAATAAATTATACATGTTATGCATATTAAAATGTTGAATCACTTGCTACTTTTCAGCTGAAAGTTGCTTAGCATAAAACTGGAAAACACTCCTTAACTAGTAGCTGACTCTCTAGATTATAACTGCCTCCTTTCAGTTAAGAGACAGAATTACTCAATTAATAAATCATTACTGCTCTTCCTAGACAAGACTCTGCTCTTTTCTCTTGATGGCTAAAAAGCACTACACCATCTGTCCACTGAGTACCTTGATATTTGGTGGATAATATTCAAATAGACCAGCAACTCAACTTCGACAGGTGTATCCAACAGAGAAGTGCACATAGCAGTACTATCTTAACAGCAAGTGCTGCAATGATATGCTTACTCCTTCAATAAATATTTTAGGTAGGTACTATACAAAGCCATAGTAAGGACTTAGATGTTTAACTTAAGAGCAATTAAAATTTTCCAGTTTTATAAGCCATATGATAAGACCACACTTTTATTCTGAAATGATTCTCTGAATATAGTGAAAATTAATTCTGGAACAATGAAGTTGAGAGTCCAGGAGCTTGGTCAATGGCTCAGTTAGTAAAGTACCTACTTTGTGAAGCATGAGAAGCTGAGTTTGCTCCTGAGAGCTCATATAAAGAGCTGGCACAGCAGCGCATGATGTAATCTCAGAGCTGGGGAGACAGAGACGGGTGGGTCCTTGGGGCCCACACAGCCTGTTTGGTGAACTCCAGGCAAATGAGAGACCCAGTCTCAAATATGAGGTGTATAGTGCCCGAAGAATGACATCTGAAGTTGTTTTCTGGTTTCTACACACATATACATACATGTACATTTGCTCCCACAAATGAATATCTGAACATATACTCACATGTGTACACACACACAAGGGTATGCACACAAAGTAGTTAGTCCATTTAGAAAAGCCTGCATTATTAGATTAGGAATGTGATGAGAGAATATTACTGGTAGAAACAAAAACGAGTCGGTAGACTCAAAAGATAAAAGCTACTAGAGTTTTAAATAATCAGACATGGACAGAGAAGAAGGCGGGGATCAGTGAAGACCTCTAAACTTTCAGTGAACACAGAATAGTACCACGTACTGAGAGGGAAGATCTGGAAGAGAACAGCTAGAGAGTAATGGATTACGAGTGCTACTCAGGTATACAAAGGAGAATACCAAATAGAGCTGGAGAAAGGATCTGACACCCTGACTGAGGACATGGACTAAAAATAGCAAGCAGTCATTTTGGAGAATGACAGTTAGGCATATAGATGAGTCACTGGGAGAAATAATACATTCGCTCATTTGATGGCTGGATAAGGAAAAGGACCTTACAGGGGCATAGGAAGAGAGACTGTAGGAAGGAGTGGGAGAAAGTGAGGAGGAACAGCCTGAGTTAAAATAAAATGTAGACCACAGTAGACTAAAGCCAAGTGTGGTGTTAACAGTGGTCATATCTGGGAAGGAAAACTCGATGGGGGAAATTATCCTAAAGAATATGAAGAGCTGCAAAGGAAAAAGGACAAATAACATATAAAGGTAAACCTGTCAGAATTACACCCAACTTCTCAATCCAGAAGTTTCTGGATAGATGTGCTGCAGACACTAAGAGACCCGAATGCAAGCCCAGACTATTATATCCAGCAAATCTTTCAATCACCGTCGATGGAGGAAAAAAAGATATTCCATGACAAAAAAAAAAAAGATTTAAACAATACGTATCCACAAACCCAGCCCTACAGAAAATATTAGAAGGAAACAGACAAGATCACCTGACAAAATTGGCAGTGTGGGGGTGGGGGGAGAAGGGGGGCTGGAAGGGGAAGAGAAGGGGTGAAGGGGAGGGTTGAGGAGAACTTGAAGGAATGGGATAGTTGCGATGGATGAAGGACAGAGATGAGAGCAAGGAAAGAGTTATCTTGATTGAGAAAGCCATTATAGGGTTAGCAGAAACCTGGCTCTATCTATAGAAATCCCAGGATCCACAAGGATGACCCCAGCTAAGATCCTAAGCAATAGAGGGGGCCCAATCTTGACTTGCGCTGTAGTCAAGCTGATGAATATCTTAAATATTACAATAGAACCTTCATCCAGCAACTGATGGAAACAGAGGCAGAGACCCACATCAGAGCACTGGACTGAGCTCCCAAAGTCCAGTTGAAGAGTGGGAGGAATGAGAATTCATATTCAAAGAGGTCAAGACCATGATGGGGACGCCAACTGAAACAGCTTACCTGAGCTAATGGGAGCTCACCCACCCCAGCCGGACTGGGAAGGAACAAGCAAAAGACCCAACTAATCCCTCTGAATGTGGCTGACAGTTGTATGGCTAGGGCAGACTGAGGGGCCACCGGCAATGACACTGGGATTTATCCCTAGTGCATGTACTGGTTTTTTGGAAACTTATTCTCTTTGCATGGATACCTTGCTCAGCCTAGACATGGTAAGGAGGGCCTTGGACCTTCCCCAAAGCAATGTGCCTTACCCTCCCTTAGGATTGGATGGGGGTGGGGGTGAGACGTGTGTGGAGGGAATGGGAGGAGGGGAGGGAATTGGAACTTGGATTGGTATTTTTTAAAAATCGAATAAAAAAATTTAAAATTAATAAATAACTCATTCTTAGAAGCATCCAATATTTTATTATCTTAATAAAAGAAAATATATTTCCAAATGATGTGGACTTAAACAATACCTCTTAAATACACATAATTATTGAGAAACTAAAATATAGATAAATTATAATGTTCAATAGAAATCTAGCTATTACCTTCTCACTGCTAAAATTTGTTTTTGGCATAAACATTTTATGTATATATGTTTTAGACAACTTTTACAGAAGTCTTTTATACCTCACAACCTATGCTATAAAAATTAGATTACAGTAATTAGAGCATCTTTTAAAATAGAGTCTTTTTTTTAATTTGGCCAAGGAAATGCCAAACACTAGTGACAAATTTTATTGGGTGAAATTTCTACATTCAGGATTAGAGAGCAGATTTTATTTGTTCTTTTTCCTTCCAGAACTGGGCATTTAATGCACACCAGCATAAGATGACTTAGAAGAACAAGGAGCAGAATAAAGCACCGAGAGACTCTGGAGCATAAGGGACAGCACGTTCTTGGCTTCTGTGTTGCATCCTTTGGTTTTCATACCCAGACTTGGGTCTGAAAAGCCAGTGACTGCTAACACCAACAGGTATAGGCAAGAGGAAAAACAGCAGCAGAACTGCAGCAAGAAAAGCAGAGGGAGGGCTCAGAAACACAGACCTCTTTCTTGTATGTGTGCACACAAGTCTGAGTTAAGTGCGTTGTACGTTAGTCTACATTCGTGAGTTGTTATGTTTGTATACATGAACTGTGTTTGTACATATGTGCTTTAGGTTTACATATGCATATGTGAGTTGTAAACATTGTGTTTATGTGTGTATATGTGTATTGTATGTTTATATGTGCATGTTATATGTTTGTGTATGTATGTATATGTGCATTATGTTTGTTCCCATGTATGTTGCATGTGTAGAAATGGAAACATTGGGTGCTTGCTATATGTTTGTTGTATGTTTGCATATGTGTTCATGTGCATGTTATATATCTGTGTGTTGTATGTTTATCTTCATGTGTGTTGGTTGTGAGTGTTCTTATGTGTTATATGTTTGT